CTGTATCACACCTGTACAACTGGACAAAAGAAATACATTGTTATAATAAAGATTTGAAATTGAGCGCGAGCTTCAAAACGAAACTGATCGTGATACATTTGCTCAATCCATGCGAATGTGACAAAATATAAATGAATTCTCTTGACATTTTCTATTGCATGAAACTGTGTGTAAAACACAACACACGGAGAAGTAATCCCAGTTGGGCTGTACGTTCACTTCGTACGGAAACACACTGCCAGTACATTAATGCTTTAATGTTGAATGCAAAGTGTCTAGAACATGCGAAGAACAAAGAAAAGTAAAGTGATTTCCCGCAAATGTCCTTTCATTTAGCCTACTAGTCTTTTCAAGGTGTTTCCAACATGATTACTGAGATAGTTCCGCGGTATACTCATTCGACGGGGGCGAGTCAGTGACATTACCAGTGGAGCCACCGTTCACAACATCATTGATGTAGTCCAGCACGTGAGAGACGCGCGTGTACATATCAGGTAGCTCGCCACAATCGTTGGCCTCACCAGGAAGAGTGGATGCGATCCCCACAACCACGCCGTTGGAAATAAGGGGGGCGCCGTTGTCTCCACTACAAAAACCCTTTCCACGTTCGGTCCCGGCACACAACGTGACATCGGTGTCAATGGCATACTTGCCACATTCGTCATCGGGAATAATCTTGGCGGCCACCGATTGAAGAGAGTCAGTATACTTCTCTTTGCTTACCTCCCCCCAACCAAAGACAGTGGCCATTGTGCCGGCCTTCGCGTCAGATCCGTCAGCACCAGTGAGACGTACTGGTTTATGAGCCGAGGGCTTCTCGAGTTTCATCAATGCCACGTCATACGTGTACCACGTAGAGTTGTACATTGGGTGACGGAAAAGCTCGACGGCACGAATCCGCTCCGACTTCTGAGAGCCTTGATCCTTGTTCTTTTGACCCCCGAGAGAAACGTGCATGTCGAGCTGGAACCACCCAAGGCAGTACACTGACGTGAGAACATACTGCGGCGCAATTAGCGCGCCAGCACACAAAGGTGCATCCTCCATATCACCAGCAATCAGTTTTGCGACGTAGGAGTACTTGCTGATGTCGGCGCTTGATCCGCCAAAGATACGACTCTCTTCGTCGGATGTCAGGTCGGTGTTATCAATGCGCGCATTCGACGGTGAAGCCTCGCTCGCGATTTCAGAGAACGAAAAACCGTTTACTAACGTTGGCATCGCAGACACGAGGGCGATGGAGTGGAGAAGCTTCATTTTCGAAAGCAGTGCAGTTGGCTCTTGGGCGACTTGAGCGGCTTAAGGTAAGAACTGGAATGCGAATGGGGTGGTCGTGATTGCAGAGACTGCCTCCCAGGAAGTTCTGTTCGTGAAACGAACCCATCCCTGGTTGGATCGTTGAACTGCTCCAGAATCGGTCAAAAATATGCGGTCTGAACAGCCGATCGTGCAGCACGATTCGTGCTACATTGTAGATACAGTAACATGTGTGTGCAGTAGCTTACTCAATGAAAGTTTCAACAAGGTGATGCTTATGAAAGGGTTGGGGCGAGGTGACGAGTCAAGAGTCCCCGCTATTACCGTACAGTGCACT